GTGGTAAAATTTTTCAGTTATTTTTAGTCTTAATTATTATTATTATTATTTTGCAATTTTACGATAAATTCATCATGTGGAAAAATAACTATTACCTTTAACAATCTAAAATTTATTTAATCATATTGTTGAAACAGTTCAAAGGTAGCAACGTTCTATCATTATTACTTTTTTGTATCAAAATTAAAAAAAAAAATAAATAAGAAAAAATATTATATCTCGAAATACTGTAAAAAAAAAAACAAAGACTGAGAGGCATCTGAAAGTTAGTTTGAAAAGAATAAAATATAAACCGAGAATTTCATCAGAACGTACAGGTGGACGTGATTCACGGCGAAGTCGTTATCGCGAGGAGGAGATCATTCATAGGGGTATTGACCGGATTGATGCAGAACGACAACTTTGTGACCAGGATATAGGGGTATTTTTGATTCGAGCCCGTGACAACGGGACACTAGCATTATCGATAAGAGCCAATAAGGGTGTACTACATATTAAACTTGAGGTTCATTTTTTAATTCATATTTTGGATTTGGGGTTTTTTCCTTTCATATTTAAAAGAGAACTTCAAATATGGTATAAGATGATGAAAGAATTTTTCCAAATGAATAATTAATGCAACAAATCATTCGTAGGTTAATTTGTGAAAAGTGGAACATTTCCAGTTGATTCATCATCTGCAAACAAATATCCTTAATTCAAGTATATAATTAATTATGTCTTCTGATGGAAAGGATTAAGCATTTAATTTCTTATCTGAGAGGGACAAAATAGAAAACTAAAGACAATTCTTTCTAAACAAAAGATAGAACTTACCTTTATCATTAATTATAAATTTAGCTTCGGGAAAATCGCTGGGTACTTGGTGAAGGGCCAACGTTTGGTTCCATTGCCAGTATTATCAGTTTCTATCGCTGTCACGAGTTACCGATTCGTGGAGCAGATCGAATGCTACTTAGTAGACCAGTACTTGTCACTGCTAATATCACTCATTCCTAGCTATTATTGTTATCTTTTCCTCTCTCTCTCTCTCTCTCTCTCTCTCCCCCTGTCTACCTGTTGTCTCATTACATTTGATATCTTTAAATGTTTCTTCTTCCTTTTTAGTTGTTATTTTTTTATTCTCTATCATTTATTACAGCACTGGCTTATTTTGTTTTTCATTGAATTTATGATATCTTAAATCTTATCATTTTGTTCGATATGATGATGACCTTTGACTTTTCAAATTAATTACTTGGAGAAAAAGTAAATAAAATATGAGGACTATAGTTCATGCTATTATTGCAATTATTGTTGTTGCTGTTGAATTTGTATGGCAAACAGAAATGGAAACACCGAAGAACTTACCAAAAAATACCGTCGAGCGACTTGTTGACATCATGCGACAAGGATCGATTCCTTATGTCTCTTCCATCCATTTACTTATTTTTTTTTTCGCTTGCAGTTAAAAAATGTGCAATTTGACAACTGTCTACTTTCCTACCGAAAAAAGAAATCTGAAATGGAGACGGAAGAGGATGAGTCAGTGCCTGAAGAATCGTTGCTTCGATTTGTAAAAGGCTATTTCCGTCTTCCTTCCTATCTAAACTTTTAGAAATACTTGCTACTTAAGGTTGTTAGCATTGAGTATTAAATAAATCTGCTTATATACGTTCGCAAATTTATTTAGCTACATAGGAGATTTAATATGAAATTGCTAGGTGTTATTTATTTTGACTGAGCAAAGAAGTTATCCGTATTTAACAGTGTTGTTTGAATTTAATTAATTAATTAAATTCGTTTATTTTGCAGATCTTCGCTGAGTTATGTAATAAAAAAAGGATAAAGGTTAAATAAGGGTCATTATATATATATATATATCTGATGTGTAAAGTAGTTCGGAACTGTTTACCTTTATCAGTTCATCCAATCTCTGTTATCATTACAGCTCCTTCCCTTACACTCCATTCGACCATTTCCAATTCATTCGCCTTTTTCCATTGTAATTGTCTCGAAGCAAATGGATGATATCGGATTGCTGGTTATCGGACCAAAATTTATACAAGATATTGATATTCTTCTAGCCAATGTGTCTAAGACCATTACCAGTAAGCTTTATGTTCGAGTTGCTGCTGAATTAGACCTTTTTGAGGTTTGATTTGAAATTATTTCCTTAAATACATTAATGTTCGAACTGTACTGTTTGCATTATTTCGTGATTTGTGATTGTGCAATTAACTATACATTTCCACTTAAAAGTAAGTAGCTTAATGTCAAGGAAAAAAAAAATAGAAAGAAACTAAATGATACTGAATAATGTTGCTGAAAGTCATTGGTATGAATTATTCATTTATTTACGAACAGTAGGATTTGTCTTATAAATTTGGTTTGTTTCTCGTAATATATGCTAAACACTTCAGGTCTTATCGCAAGTTTATATGAAAGGATCGAGAGTTTGCGATACTTTGGATATCCGAGTAATTATTGATGATAGTCGAGAAAGAACATTCAAAGCAATCATTAGTGAAGATAAAACTATTGAATGTAATCGAACAGTTGAAAAATCATATGACAGCGTCGTGCTTGGTGGTACGTTTGATCGTCTGCATAATGGTCATAAGTTGCTTCTATCGAGAGCTGTAATGGCAGCATCAAAACGTATAATATGTGGTATTACTTGTGGTGATATGATTAAAAGTAAGATTTCAAACGATTAGTTGAATTGCAGAGTATAAAACAAAGTATAAATTCCTTTTCTCCACATTTTAATTTTGCATTTGCAAGTCTTAATTAGAAACAAAGTAATTCTGATAAAGATTTTTACATAATTCATTCCTTCTATCGAAAGATGCAGGGGAAAATATTTTTCGTGAAGGTATTGTTAAGAAAAGGTGCTATCAACCAAGTATTTCAGAAAAGGTATTATGGGAATTAATGGAATCGTTTGAAGAAAGGGCAAAAAATGTGCAAAAGTTCGTGGAAGATATTAGCTGCACTGTTCGTTGTGAAGTTCATCCGATTATGGATCCGTATGGTCCGTCAATCGTTGATCCTGACTTGAAAGCAATTGTTGTTAGTAGTGAAACAGAAAAAGGTGGCCATGCAGTTAACGATAGGAGAAAAGTAAGCTTTTTACAGGATTTATAATTTTACTATGAAATTATAAAAGTGTTTATTCTTTTTTCTTAGCTTTTTCCAAAAATGTAGTGCTGTTCCATTATATGGCACTTTTCTATCCAAAAAGAAAGAATTTTGTTTCTTTAATGAGCCGCTTATTTCAGGAGAAGAATCTTCCAGTTCTTGATTTAATAAAAATAAATTTAATCGATGGAAAGGATGAATTAATAGGAGAATATAAGTTGAGTTCATCTACACGACGTCGAGCATTACTGGGGACGTTTCTAAAGCCATTCAAATTTGAGAAGTTCCCTCAACCATTTGTTATTGGTTTGACCGGTGGTATCGCATCTGGAAAAACGGATGCTGCAAATTTTCTTTCTGAAAACGGTTGTGAGGTATAATACGAGGATTAGTCAAATAACTGGCGCGCAGTTAGTTGCACTGATTGATTCTTGATGATGTATCATATATTTTATTAATTAAGAATAATATATTATATAAATTTTCATTTTATATTTCGGAGTATTGTGATATACCTAAGTATTTTTGGATAGAGTAAAATTTCTTTTTTTTTTTTCACATCCTTAGATTAAGTCACTTGTTACGATGAATTCCTGAAGAAGTGAGATTTGCGTAAGTAAACATCTGCTAGGCCCATTTACAGTTTATTACGTTTTATCTTATGCTTTCTTATCGCTTAAAAATTTGTTCTTTTGCAGGTGGTAAATTGCGACAAATTAGTTCATGAACTTTACGAGAGAGAAACTATGATAGCAACAAATATTGCTGTAAGATTTGGCGGCAGTGTTGTACAAGATGGTCTGGTCGACAGAAAAAAATTAGGAACGATCGTTTCCTCTGATAAAGTAGGTCCCTCTTAATTCACAATGATAGAAAAGTCAGCATTAATCGTCAGTCAATCTCACTAGCTGAACAGGTTATGCAGTCAGGAAACGATATTCTCGTAACCTATAACTTTCTAGGAAAAACTCAGAATGTTGAATGATATCCTTTGGCCTTCTTTGAAGAATAAGGTCAAGGGAATCATTGCACAAAGCAAAGCTGAATTTATTGTTGTTGATGCGGCAATACTTCTGGATGCAGGCTGGGATACTGATGGAATAGTGCATCAAGTATGGAGCTGTATAGTGCCGCCTTCCACTGCTAAAGAGCGTATTGTGGATCGAGACCATATTACACCCGAAGAGGTGATTTTTACTTGTCTGCGCAAATAATTTCACCTAATTTCATGAGTAACATTTGTACAATTTGCAATGGTTTGGAGAGAAATCGCTATATCTCGAAATATGTAGATTCTTATGAATAGAAAAAGGAAACATATGAGATGTACAGCACAATGAAGCAAAGTTTAACATCTCAAAATACATTATTCTTTAATCAAACATCATTGATGAATAATACTTCAAATGCAATATTCGTCAAAAGCATATAAAACGTCAGTGTAGGACAGGACTTAATATTTACCCAACACATACCGCGTACTTCATTTTAAGTTGGCATTTTGGGCTGTAATTTCTTTTCAGCTCTAATTTCTGCAACTCCAATTTCCTGGTTTTGAACTCATATGATATATCGTTTAGGTCTTATTTTCCATTCTTAACCGACTCAAACTTCATGATACGAATTGTCGACAATATCTTTATCAGACTATTTGTTTCGAGTAGTGGTTTATGGGGACTTTAGAAAGATCATTCTAGTACATTTTTTCAACAAAAGTGATTACAACACCAGTTTTTTATAGGCAGAAAAAACAATCTATTCACAAATGACTAATCTGGAGCGTGTAAAACGAAGTGATGTTGTGATCTGTCCACTTTGGTCATATGAAGAAACAAGAAGACAACTACTTTTGGCTTTGTCCGCGCTGCGCTCACTTGCTAATCAGTGTCTTCGGAAATATAATTCTGCCACTGCTTGAGCCTTTCTGCTCTCTGCTCTTCGGTTTCTGCTCTGAAATACAAAAAGATGATCAAAATAGGAAGAGTGATAGTTGACGAGCCATATGGAACCGAAGTACTTGCCTTACTTTGGAAGCAGAAAATATTCACAATTTAAAGTCTTTTTGCTGACAAATAAAAACGGCCATTTGCGTATTGTTTCATGTTGTAAATTTTCAACAGGATACAGGATGTAAGTATCAGTGAAATAAAAAAATATATATATTTCGATCATTTTTATATTTACAAAACATCGCTTCATCAAAACCTTACATTGTGTATTTCGTTTTCCCGTCCCACAACGTTACTGAAATTTGTCGACCATCTACTACACGGCCATTGAGTGAACGCACAGCTGTATCCGAATGTTCGACATTTTGGAATGTGACACAAATTACTCCTTCTGGGTTATTCTGAAAAAAAATTGTAACAAACTGCAATCTAAAGACGTTTGCTTTAAATTTGACCAACTTAGCCTCTACGAGCTATGTTTTTTTTTTTTTTTTTTTTATGCTACGAAAAAACTAAACCATTCACTAAGCAATAATAGTCAATATAGAATAAAAAAACGAACATACAACTGGAAAGTTAGTAAATTTACATCATGAACGACGACTTTTTTGACAACTCCAAATCTTTCACAAACTTTTCTAACTTCTTCTTCCAAATCCAGCAACAAAGTCGCATTCTTCTGCAAAACAGAGATCAGCTCTCAACACAAGAATAGACAGGATTTTTCACGCTATAAATTATCAACCAAATTTTAGCAAAAACAAACCATCATTTGCTCTAACGTAAACATATTCTTCATAACAATAGTACAGTCACTAACTGGACGATAGTTTCGTGGTTTTTCCGGTTTCCATTCAAAGATTCTGGAATTGTACATGCTCAGTTCACCGATATTTAATTTAAACATTTGTATTCAACAAGAACGACTACCTCTCTTGATTTTCGATAAAACGTTTTTTCTGAGCTGCTGTAAGTTTCTTTTTCTTTTTTGATGGGTCGAATTCTCCTTTCATTTGGAATTTTGCTTTTTCGACTGAAATAATTTTTCCATCCACATTCCAGCCATCCAGAATATCTAGCGCCATGACGACCGATTCTTTCTGGAAAATTTATGTATATCAGCTAGACGTAATTTTAGTCAAGTCAAAACAAGTCACTACTAACCTTTATGTAACAACATCTGCCATCTCCTTTAAATGTGCCATCATCATTCCTGTAGAGTTTTATTTTAAGTTTATTGGTCCTTGCATCCCGCTGTATGACACCGCATTTGCTCATTAACTCCTAAAACTATGCCAATATAAATTCTATTATTTGTTTTCAAGATTACTTTTTTAACTGCTTTTTATGCCAATAAATTTAATTAAAAGAATAGCTATAATTTCTTGGTACACGTCATCGTCGAATATTATGATTTAATAATAGTTGAAAAATAAGATATTAATATGCACAAATTTTGAACTCACGGTAAACGATTCTTCGGTTATACTATACGGCAAATTTGAAACATAGACTGACGTGTTCCTTTCTTCTTCAAGTTCCACCCAACCTAAAAAATCCTATATATTGAATTTAAATATAATTTTTTAAAAAAAAAGAAGAGAAGGTTGCAACCTTGCTGTTCCTTTTTGTCGTGCAATTTGTGTTTCGTATGTTTATGGTCTTCAGATTTTCTATTTTTTCCTTCCATGCTTGATCCTTCTTTTTCATCAAAATCATATCTGATACCATAACTACTGTGATACTGAGCCAAAAAATCTTCATTTACCTAAATAGATTTGACATAATGACAAACAGTTAGTGGAGAATTTGATTTTCCTCCCAAATCTTCAGGATTTTTCTCCTCCGAAAACAAAACATGTCCTAGTGCATAATATTCATACAGTTATTCAAATTTATCCAGATTTCACGTAAAGTTAGGAATAGTATCAAGCAGTGTTTCGAATTTGAGTTCTTCATATTTTCCAGAAATCTAATAAAACTGCATTTGCATTTTGCCGAATTTTAAATATATACTTCCACTACTGGTAACCACTGCTGGCTGATTTGATTCCACTCCATAGTAACGCCATCAACAACACAACGATACGGATTACCGCTTATCTCGTCAAACGTATCAGCTGCATCCCATTTTTTCTTCAAATCATCGCCACTAGCCGCTATCCATTTATCATCCTCAAACACCAAGAAACCACCGTCACCATCCTCGCAAAACCATTTTCCATCTATAAACTTTCTTTCCAGTTCTGAAATGAAAACCATTATGATTGTTGATCTGGTCACTAAATTTCCATTCAGTCAGTATTTCAAAAAAATTCCAAAAATCTAAATTGAATTTACTTCTATAGTTTACTTTTTTCGCAATAGTTAGAATTATAAAAAACTATCTAGAAATCTTGAGAAAGCTACAGGCCAAAAATTTTCTCATATGAAAACATTATGATAAAGTATATGGAAAACATTTTAGCATTTACTTCAAGCAATTTCTTATTTATTCTTAATTATTTGTTTTGCACTTTTTTTTTTGATGCCCTAACTATGTCAAAAAAGCACAATGAAACCAATAAAAGAATCAAGCAAACTTTACCAGTTTGATTCACAGATGTATCATTACTCTCTAAACCGCTTTCAATCTGCACTGTGTTACAACAATCATATTTCTCATTCAAACTATTGACCTCCATTATCGTCACTTTCCAGACTAAAGATCTACATAAATTTAATTGAATTATAAACTAATCCTCGTCAACAAAGAGCTTTTAACCACTTTTTTCCAGCGCCCTACATTTTCGGTTACAGTCTTGCACATTACATTCATATACCCAACACACATATATGCATAAGCATACTTTTCGAGAAGACTGATCTATTATTTTCATTACTGTCCCTATTGTGGTGAACTCTCGACCCAATTAACTCATACAAAGCCACAGGTAAACCGATCAGGTGATAGAATCATTTCCAAAGCAGTTTCGGCTACGCGTCATCCGTAAAGTACTAACATGATGGCAAATGTCTGTTGTTGTTCTCGTTGTTGTACTTCAGTGGTTTCCATCTCATCACTTCTGTTTTCTTTTTTATCAGTCTCACTAATATGTAGCTGTTGTAAAAGCCAAATTGTAATAATTCATCGAAATAAAATTGTATTGAATCCAATAGAGTAAAGATTGTCTTAATTGAATATTCCGTAAAAAAATATAAAACTGTTTCAAACTGCATTTTATGTAAAAAATCATTGATCCAACACTCATCTCCTCATTGTAACTGGACTTATTTGACTAGAATGTTTTAATTGTTAATTAGAGTTTATGCAATGTTTCATATGTTTCTAAATCAATTCTACATGCAGTATCAGAACATTGTAAAAGTTTTCTAATTTAACATATATAAAGAGTAAAGATCATCTGATAGTCATTCTAGTGTCCTCAGGGTCCAACCTTATTAATCCTGCACACTCATTCCTCTTCATTTATACCTTTTATTTGTTTTTCGTATTTATTCTCTACGAAATTACCAGTATATTGTCAATATAGACTAATACTTTGTAACATAATTGTTGGTGAAAATTCATTATAACCGATTCAATTTCGAAATATATTCGTCTATACGAACTGGAAATGCAACAAAAACTATTCTAACAAATCCTCTCACGTTCTCAACAGTATCGGATATATCTTGAAATGAATGACTGAACTATTTGAGAGATAATCATGATAAAAGGATACATAGGAGTGACGAAGTTATCCACGAGATTCATACCATATTTCATGCTACTTTTACCATTTCACTTCCATTATTTGTTGATTTATTTTGAATAAATAAGAGCATTTATTTTTTTCTTTCAGAGCATAATGTACTCAGTTAAAACTTGAAACTGAAATAATTGCATAACCTGAAACTTGAAGGAATTATCATTGAATGACCTCAGACTTGAGCAATTAAATTGAAACATTCACTTACTCCATCTCCTCAATCAGTGCTATGTATAAATCCTAATAATATTCTTCAACAAAAATCTTAGCATGAAAGAACTTCGTAGTACACAAGCTACCCTAGCTATAATCACAATAAAAAGATATCACCTAATATAGTCACCTAATTTCGATGATTATATTCCAATAATCATTTAGGTAAAATCGCATCGTAAGCATGAAATCGGAAATCCAGATCGAAGGGATTACGAATAAAACATAAAACGATCTGGACTGGGAAGATTATTAAATGACTTTACATTCGAACGGTTAAATTGAAATACATACTTACTCTATTCCATATTTAATTCATGGTCCTTAAAAATATAGCACTCGAATTTAGTGAAATATATATATGCATTTCATTTGAATTATGAGTAATTTTGAATTCAGTTCGGGATGCTTAGAACAATTAACACACTTTTTCTTATTACTCAAATGTCAAATTTAATGGATCTAATTGGAGTACCAGTACTTGATATATTACGGTGATCTTATATATTTTACTAAAATATTCTGTTTAATTCCAAAATCAAAACAGGGAAGAGGAGAAATTTGTCTTTTAAGATCAAATTTAATCATGAAGTTCAAAATGTATACGAGAGAAATAAACAATCTAATCCATTTCTAGACAACAATTTAATAGGACATATATGTCATGCATACATATTTAAATTTGCCTCATTTTTTATCCTTATTGATAAATGTACCAAAAATGTATAGGTACTTAGATATATAATCTCATCATAGGTGCCTTAGATATGTAAATAGATATGTAATCACATTTCGCAGGCAATTAAAAGTTTATATAATACACATAATACAACAAATGTATCAAATTTATTTCAAAATATAAGGTGTGAAATATATATGAACAATTCATAAGATGTAAAATATATACAAACAATTTTTTAACAAAATGAGATATTTAAAAGTCGAAAAAATTTACTGTTTGAGACTTATTCTCTTCAATAAGAAAGTAGCTAGACTTAATTAAGGAGGCAAATGTTCGATTACAATGCTTTGATTAATTCCGGAATAGCTTTATGAAGGTCAGCTATTAGTCCAATATCTGCGATCTAAAAAATACATCATTTTTTTGCCACAGAATGTAATTTAATTCTTATAATGAACACTGACTTAGATTTGTACTGCAATTTACCTCAAAAATCGGAGCGTCTGGATCTTTATTTATAGCTACAATAATTTTGCTATCCTTCATTCCTGCTGTATGTTGAATGGCACCACTGATACCAATTGCTATGTATAACTCCTGCGAAGTTTGACAATCAATTTATGATACAGAAAGTTAAAAGAAAGAGTCAGTCTTCACTATACTTATGGAAATTTAGTTGTCGTAAACAATGAAAGTAGCCTCGAATGAAATGGATAACAGAATTGACTACTAGATGGATTATCCGGATCTCGGTGTGATTTTGTAAGATAATTCGAAGTTAAGTATCTGCTCATAACGAAAATCTAACCGTCTAGTTTTTATTTCATTATTTTATTTAAATAAAAAAGTTACCGGTGCAACAATTTTGCCCGTTTGTCCAACTTGTAACTCATTCGAAACATAGCCAGCATCAACTGCTGCACGTGACGCACCAACTGCTGCTTTCAATTTATTAGCTAATTCATAAATAATTTTAAAATTATCTGCTGAACCTACACCACGACCGCCCGAGACTATCACTTTTGCGTTCCGTAAGTCTGGTCGCTCCGACTTCAGTAATTCTTGTGATAAAAATTCAACACCATTGAATGAAAAATCTGTTTCAGGGGCTGAAAACTGATGAATTTGTCAAATGTATGAACTTCCTCAAAGATTTTCATACGCAATTTTTTTTTCTTTTGTGTGTAAAAATAAATATCAAAAATAAATAAGCAATAAGTATCATTTTTTTTTAAATCCCTGATGCCAATAGTGAACTGGATAACACTAAGGAAAAGCTGTCTATTTGAATTACAAACACAGAATTGGTACTTTGTACATACCTTTCTCAATTCTACCACTACCACCAGATTCCTTGGCTGGTTTAAATGCTGTCGCTCGAAAAGTCAAGAACTTTACCGGGGCATTAGTTTTTACCTTAAATTGATATGATCATAGAAAAACAAACTAAAAAAAGTAGAATAATTCACATTTTAGATAAACTGTACATTTATACAATGATCCAATGGCTTCAGTGAATAAATCAAAAAAAGCTTTACCTTACTTAAGGCATTACCAGCATAAATAGGTCGCGTGAAGGTATCAGCACTGTGTATAGCAATGATATCGGTCACAGGAGCAGAATCGAATTGAGCAGCAACTCTTGGTACTACATCACGACCATATGTTGAAGCTCCCGCTACTACATAGTCGAACTTGTACTGTTTTTGAAGTGTTTCCACTGCCTTAGCAACATACTCTTAAAAAAGCTCTATTTTATTAAATCATTCAAAAAATAATTTGAACTACTACAGATAACACTAAATTAGTAAATGAATTTTAAGTGACAAAATTTGAAACAAAACAACTGCGTGAAGTAACCTGGAAGCTGATGCTTGAGTTTTTCATGATCCGCTACAAATACTCGTTTAACTTGCTCCACTTTTGCTACCTGCAACAATTAATTGAATCAATATCCAAAAAAAACTAAAGTTCTTTCAACATAATCTGCTACTTCAATTTACAGATTAATTACTTAGATTATCGAGACCTTACTGCACAAAAATTTAACATTTCTATTTTCCCCACTATCCAACAAGAATATTTTACTTGATCAATGAAACTGGACAAAAGGGATGTATCAAGACCATAATGGTTTTAATATCCAGTCAGACTCGCTATATAGTAATTATGTATCTTACTAAAATATCATTCATAAATTTCCATTAGTTGAAAAATCAACAAAGGTAGCTTAAAAAACCAAAACGACCGTATAAAAGAAGATAAATTAACCTGTTCAGCAATGTTATTAATATTGCTACCAGCAACCAGTACCGATATTTCACCAAATCTAGAAGCAGCGTTAACAGTATTTAACGTTATCGGGCTAAGCTTATCATTGGTATACTCCGCCAGTACCAATGTACCCGTGCATCGAAGAACTGTTTGCTGAAAACAGTTGAAATCTTGTTTTGATCATTTTTAATTCTCTAAATACGGATGAAAATACAAAATATCACTTTTGATTCAAAAAATGAGAAGGTATATGTAATATGTCTATGTCCGCAAAATAACTCAAAATAGGCAATTTTTAGATTTTAAAACAGATACGCTGTTATTAGGAATGTGTAAAAAATAAACAGTGAAAAATAGGCAAAGAAAAAAAAAATTGACTAAACTAGTAAAAGTTTAATCTTAATATTTGAAATATAACTGGCTTTTTTAGAAACTAAATTCAGCCAAACAGTTCACTGTTCGTTTGAAACTTAACCAAAAAAAAAAAAAAAAATGATCTAACAGATGCCATGCTCCTATATCATTAGACTGCAGGTACTAGGCTTATGGACAGTAAATTTAAGCATGCATAGAAAGTTCTTTATGCACTATTAACCAAAATATTATCCTATGCTAATCATCTGAGAAAAATATCACTGTAATTTCGATCTTTATTTCTATCTCGCATGATATTACTAATTCATTCCTCGGCATATAAAGACATATGAATCCGAAGATTTCAAATGAGCAGTAAACTGTTCCAAAGAGTGAAATTTTTTAAAAA